GTCCACTTTTTGAGTGGTTTTTTTTGGAGATAAATGTTTCATGGGGACTTTTCTGGCTTTGAACTATGATCCTCAGACCTCAGCCTCCTGAATAGCTAGGATTATAGGTGTAAACCACCAGCAGTAAGGCACAGATTTAAAACACGTACATTCCATTAGCTATCCATACTCGATGTATGAGTTTTCACCCATAGATCACATGGCTTCTGGAGAGTACCATACATTGAGATGAGAATGAAGATGGTCAAAGTAGTTGAACTTTCAGAAATCCTAAGAAGGTCTCAAAAGAGTTTTCCTTTCTACTTCCCCAAACCTTTGGGACACATTTTGAAAACAGCTAACATAAAAAAGTACATTTTTGCCAGGTGCTGGTCGCTCACACCTGTAATCCTAGCTACTTAGGAGGCTGAGATCTGAGGATCATGGTTCAAAGTCAGCCTGGGCAGGAAAAGTCATGAGACTCTGCTCTCCACCAGAAAACTGAAAGTGGCACTGTAGCTCAAGTGGTAGAGCGCTGGCCTTGAGCTGAAGAGCTCAGGAAGGCCCCCTTGCTCATTGGGCAAACACTCATTGAGTAAAATGTGCTAGGTGTCTCTTAGCTTGGGTCAGGATCTGATCAGATAGGATTGCAGCTAGGCAAGAGAAATAACAGGTTGTAGTATGCACAGGCCCAGGAGTACTATAGTTCTGAAAGATGTACAGGTTGTAGGGTTGGAGGGCATGGCTCAGTTGGCAGAGTACTAGCCAGTAGTAAAAGTATGTATCCAGTTTGAGTCCTGGTTTTGCACCTTAGGAAAAAAAATAGACGAGAAGATGTACAAGTTGTGCAGGATTATAGGAGTATAGGTGTAGACGTAAGGGGAGATGAGGTGAAGAGGCTAGCTTGACTTGAATGCTTATGTGACTCACTTCTGAGGTTCTGTTTTTTGGACAGTGTTAGATCCAGCGTCGATCCGGCTCCATGAAGCTAAACCTCCTGTCACTACTTCTTTAATTGGGTGCTACGAGGTATAACATAGATGTAGTTGCCTGTATATATGCTGTTGAGAAATATCAGATTCTTTCCCGTGTTAGTATTTATTGAGTAGTCTTAGGGTAAAAATACAATGAAGTTATGGTACTCTACAAAATGAAGATTGATAATCCCTACTCTCTCCATTATGGTATGATGACAATTGAGTAACCTGAGATAGCATTGTGCTGTAGGCAAAACCCTGTGGGAAACATGGTACTTGCAGAGTTCTGTAATTGCTTGTTTTTCTGAACTTGAATGCAAGACTTTACACCTATCCCTTAAGCACAGTGGTACTTAAGTAGGGATGATCTTGCCTCCCAGAGGGTTTTTGGCAATGCCTGGAAACATTGTTGGTTGTCACAGCTGGTAGGAGGGAGGTGGTTGGTGGTATGCTGTTGGTATCTGGAGAGCCATGGGCAAGGGTGCTCCTGAATATCTGCAGTGCTAGGAGCAGCCTTGTCAACCAAGGGTTATCCCCAGTGTCCACGGTGTGCAGCCCACTGTGTGTGTGTGGCTCAGGTAAACAGCTGCATCTCCTAGAGGTCCTCAGGGAAATGGTGCTGCGTTCTGTTCTTGTCAGGCTTCCTGAGGGAACCCAGCGCACTAGTGTTTGTTTCCTGTATCACTACCTGTAATCCTATCAGAAAAGCAAGTCGTTTCAGTTTATCTTTTTTTTTTTTTTGGGGGTCAGTCGTGGGCTTTAACCCAGGGCTTGGGTTCTGTCCCTGAGCCTTTCTGTGCTCAAGGCTAGCACTCTACCACTTGAGCCATAGTGCCACTTCCAGTTTTTTCTGTTTATGTGGTACTGAGGAATCAAACCCATGGCTTCATGCATGCTAGGCAAGCACTCTACCACTAAGTCACATTTCCAGCCCCTTAGGTTATCTTGACTTGTTTTTAGTGGGCTCAAAGTTTGGTAAAGGAGATACGTATTAGGATAAGCTTAACAGTTGGTTCTCTCATTTCTGAAACGTTGGGGTAACTATGGCAAACAACTTGGCATTAACATTTGAGAGAAAGTGCAGGCTAGAGCCAGGTGGTTTAGGTTTGAATCCCTGATCCACCACCTACTGTTTTTGTGACCTTGGGCAAGTTGCCCCAAGGTTGGTAATAGTAGCTCATAGAATTGTGAAGACTAAGCATGGAGTACACATGAGTGAGGTGTTCCCAACAGTCCTTGGCACATTGTGAGAACTGCCTAGGTGGTGGTTTTGGTGTTTTTTTCTTGTGTATTTCTGTGTGTATGGTGCACTGATGATCATGGTTAAGTTCATGGGGTATATTTAATTTCATACCTATTTTTAGACTTTATGAGCATTTGCCCATGTTACTGAAAGTTCTTATCAAGCATGTTACTGAGAATGTTGTGAATTTAGGTATATTAAACATGAAATAACTACATTTATAATTTTATGCAAAATCATCCCTTTTAGACTAGATTGAAGAGTAGATTGCTGGTGGCAGATGCTAAAGGTTTAAGAAGTTTGAGAGAAACCAGGTGTCTGTGGCTTACGCCTGTAATCCTAGCTACTTAGGAGGCTGAGATCGGAGGATTGCAGTTCAGAGCTAGCCCGGACAGGAAAGTCCGTGAGACTCTTATCTCCAACAAGCCACCAGAAAACCGGAAGTGGCATTGTAGCTCAAGTGGTAGAGAGCTAGCCTTGAGCTGAAGAGCTCAGGGACAGCACCCTGGCCCAGAATTTAAGCCCCATGACCAACAAAAATAAAAATAAAAGGTGGCCATGGTTAGATTTTAGCAATAAGCACCCTACTCTAGTGTATAGAACTTCTTATTCCAAATCCTTCTAGAATCTTGTCTCAAGTAGTCACACAGCATCTTGATTTCTCATTTATAGACTCTCCCTTATTTAAATTCTCCCCACTCCCAAGTACCAATCCATATACTGTGGAAGAGATTGCTGCTGCTATATAACTTTCTATGAAAAACCTTTCTTAGTTGAAAAACAAAACCTGTCTCTCTTACACAGGTCTGAAACTTTTCTGAAGGTGATGAATTTATGTTTTAGAATTAGAATATCATAGTTTCTCATTTGGGAGTATTAACAGCTTGGTATCAAACTGGCTTCAGAGTGGTTCCAGTTTCTTTGGTTTTTAAGGGAATTAGATTGGAATTGTCTCCCTTATCTGGGCCTCTGTGATATAATTTGGAATTTCAGGAGCCTTTGAGGGATTTGAAAATGAAGACAACTTTTGGAGTTCCTCATATTTGCATTTTAATTTTAGAACAACAAAATGCAGTATTTAAACCTGGCATTGCTCTTACCCAGGTACAAGGGGCTGGCTGGGATGTCTTTCTGGGTCACAGTTGTTTGTCATTTGGGTGCCTTCTCATGGCTTTGCCCACTCATTAAGTGGATTGGGAGGTTTTCATACTGCTATCTTTTGAGTACCTTTTGTTAAATGAATGATTCTCTAGCTTGGTTCAGATAAGAAGTTACAGACAGGACATCCTTTTGGAAGGGGATCTGGGAATGTTAGTCCTTAGGCCTGGAATGACCTTTAAGGTCTGCATCCTATGTTACCAGATCCACTTGTTGAAGAGAGGAGGCTCAGAGAAATCAGTGGTTTTCTACTCTCGGTTGCCTCTCAGGAAAGCAATGCAGTTGCAAAGCTATCTTAGGGCTGTCCCTGTGGCCTTTGTACTGTTGAGCTGAGTTGTTATTTCTGAGCATGAAAGAGTACCACGGATGGCTTGGCACAAAGCATCACTGTTTTAGATGAATTAAGCTCATTTTTGAGAGGTCTTGATCACCATTTTTGTTTTGACAGCAATTGCCTGTTCAGAGCCCTTGGTGATCAACTGGAGGGACACTCACGAAATCATCTCAAGCACCGACAAGAGACAGTAGACTACATGGTAAAGCAGCGGGAGGATTTTGAACCCTTTGTAGAAGACGACATTCCTTTTGAGAAGCATGGTAGGTTCACTGTAGGACACCAGATCCTTCAGGAGTAAGGGTAATTAAACCCATCAGCATCCTCTACTTTCTGCCTGGGGGTTGGTTATATAAGCTATGGCATTAGTTTATTCCACAAATACTCATTTTCATATTCTGTAATAAGCAGCATGCTCAGTATTGGGAGTAAATTTTGGGTATGTGAACTTAATAAAAGTGATGAGTTTGGTGGCTTAGTGGTAGAGAACTTTGCCTGTATGAACCAACCAGTTGATTAACAAAACATGTTAAGTGACTTGAAAAGCTGGTCATGAAATCTATATCTATATCTGTATCAGTATCTAGATCTGTTTGGTTTTTATTTCTATACCTGGGCCTGCTCAGGGTCAGGGTGTTGTCCCTTAGCTTTTTCACTGAAGGCTGGCCCATAATCATTTGAACCACATCTCCACTTCCAGCTTTTTCATACTTAATTGCAGGTAAGAGTCCCACAGACTTTCCTACCCAGGCTGACTTTGAACTTTGATTCTCACATCCTAGCCTCCTGAGCAGCTAAGGAGTACAGGTGTGAGCCACCAGCATCCAGCTATGTATCTTTCAAAAGTTGTATACTTAGAGCAGTAGAAAAGACCTAGAAAGATACTAACATCCTATGATCATTTTTTCTTGATCTCTAAATTTCTTTTTTTTTTTTTGGGCCCGGTTGTAGGGCCTGAACTCTGGGTCTGGGCGCTGTCCTTCAGCTCTTCAGCTCAAGGCTAGTGCTCTACCACTTGAGCCACAGTGCCACTTCTGGCTTTTTTTCATTTTGCTTATGTGGTCGAACCCAGGGCCTCTGGCATGCAAGGCAAGCGCTCTACCACTGAGCCACCTTCCCAGCCCCTTGATCTCTAAATTTCTATAAAAAGAAAACAATAAAAGCAACTATCTGAAAGCATTCTTTTTTGTAAAGATTAAATTAGATAACAAAGTAAGCTCTTAGTAAATTATCTGGGATGATGGGACTACCAGCATTTTAAAATTGTCTTCTGTAGGTGTTTTGATTATTTATTTATTTATTTATTTGGGTCTGGTCATGGGGCCTGAACTCTGGGCCTGGGCACTGTCCCTCAGGTTTTCAGCTCAAGGCCAGCGCTCTACCACTTGAGCCACAGCAGCACTTCCGGCTTTTTTTTCCTTCTGCTTATGTGGTGCTGAGGAATCGAACCCAGGGCCTCAGGCATGCAAAGCAAGTGCTTTACCACTGAGCCACCTTCCCAGCCCCTATTTATTTATTTATATCATGGGGCCTGAACTCTGGGTCTGGGCACTGTCCCTCAGCTCTTCAGCTGGCAGCAAGCGCTCTACCACTTGAGCCACACACCACTTCCGGTTTTTTTGCTTATGTGGTGCTGAGGAATTGAACACAGGGCCTCATGCATGCAAGGCAAGCACTCTACCACTGAGCCACCTTCCCAGCTCAAGGTGTTTTGATTTTTAAGTCATCATTTCTTTTATAATCAGAAAAATCACTAATGTCACATTAATTTCTCATCAAAAACCCAAACATAATTTACTTTCTTTGAGGCAAGTTAGCTAATGGTTTTAACTAGTTCTTATCTAGCATGCACAAATCAAAACTGTGTATGAACCTTTAAATTTCATCACATACTTGCTGAGGGTTTACTGTCCTAGGTGCTGACATTTATGTTTTATGAATAGCGTTCTTGTCCCAGAGCTTATGTTTATCTCTTGTCAGAAAAGAGAACCATTTCTATGTTTTGATAACTAAGTCTGGAGCCATCATGAGTGGACCTGGATGAAGACTGGGGAGGGAGGTTAGTTTGGAGGCCTGCCACACTGGCCAGGTGAGAGAAGAGGAGGGAAGGTCTGCATAGAGACAGCTCCTGAGCATAGGCCCACTCCAGGATGAGTTTGGTAGTGTAACCAAGAGGACTTACTGGAGGTGATGGGGGAAGATGCAATGGGAGGAGCTGAGGCTGATCTGAAGTGTGTGCTTGGAGAACATCTTTGCAGCAGCAGGATGAAGATGCATGCTTGGGAGTCATGTGATCAGTGACCTCAGTGCTCTTCTCATTCCTCAAAAATCCATTTATTAGACACTGGACACAGCAGCAAAACTGGTGTGTAGTTTATGGCTGTCTCTGAGTTATAGTGGTCTTGGTGGGTAGTTTATGAATGTCACTGAGTTGTAGTGGTCTTGGTGGGTAGTTTATACCTGTTACTGAGGTGTAGTGGTCTCTCTCACATGGTTACTTAGTCTAGCAGACACATTTTATCAAAGAGTAGAAACAGTTTATCAGAGTCAGCATTTATAGGTGTATGGATGGGGTAAACTTTGTAGTTTAATGTTGTATAAAGTGAACTATCTTGTTGAATATGGTTGCACAATCCTGTAATCCCAATGCTGGGGAAGGTAAGGCAGGAGGCTTGTAAAGTCAAGCCCAGCCTGGGCTACATAGCAAGTTCAAGGCAAGCCTGAGTTATAGAAAGACCTTGTCTCTCAAAACAAAAGTGAAATAATTATGTCATTTTCCTGGTTAAAAGTATCACTTTGGTTGTAATGAGTTTTAATAGGTGATGTGAAATTCCATTTTGAACATTGATAGGGAAATGGGTCATCTAGTGGATTTGGGGGTGTGAGGTTTAAACCTTCAGTTGCTAATGAGGTGGTGTCACTTTAGATGTACAGTGGAAAGGTCTTTCTTGATTCCACAGACTGGCAAAACAAATGAAAAGAAGCATAGGTCTGTACATTCTCCTGCGCGTTGGTTGAAGGTCAGGTCAGACTCATTACGCTTGTTTTAATGTCTGGCTGCATGTCATGTTATTAATGTATTGAGGGCAGAGAAAAGACTTTGTTTCTGTGAAAACCCTGAATATCTGGTAGACAATAACGTAATAATTGCTGATAAATAGACAAATGGCTCACTTAACTAGAGACTTGATTTATGCTGGTATTTGACTGTGTCTTTAGGTTCAGCCCTTGCCTGCAAATCATGGCTTCAGAGAGTCAGCACATCTTTTTCTAACTGTACAAAGATCCAGACCAGAAACCTGAGTGTTCTGAACGCCTCATCTCCCTGCTTCCTCTTCCAGTCATTCATTGTGTCTGTCACTTCTGCCTCAGTAGTTGTTCCCTCTTTTGGTGGCCATTTTCCCAGAATCCTCAGTGCTTGATCCTTTTAGCCTCTTCCACATCGCAGCAGGATGGTGGTCTGGATGTGCTCTCTAACTGAAACCTGCTGGTGGCTTTCCTTGATCTCAAGATAGTTTGAGCTTTTTAGCCCATCATGACCCATGATTTTCCTTCTTCTCCCTTTATCTCTTGCCATTTCCCCTGATCTCAGCATCCCAAGTTCCTGCCATACAATTCAGTCCAGTCTCTCGTGTGTCTGCTGGGAAGGTCACCCATTGTTCTCTGCTAACTCCTACTTATCCTTGTCAGCTTAGTTGTAGAGCTGAGAAGTTAGTCTCATTCACCTTTTCTCTCCCTCCTTATTACCACATCCAGGGACCTAGAGTTAGTCAAACTTGCTGTTTTTTTTTTTAAGTACTTACAGAACTCAATCACAACTATAGTTTTTTTTTTTTTTTTTTTTGTTGGTTGTTGGGCTTGAACTCTGGGCCTGGGCGCTGTCCCTCAGCTCTTCAGCTCAAGACAAGCGCTCTACCACTTGAGCTACAGCGCCACTTCCGGTTTTCTGGTGGTTTATTGGAGATAGGAGTCTCATGGTCTCTCTTGCCTGGGCTGGCTTTGAATCGCGATCCTCAGATCTCAGCCTCCTGAGTAGCTAGGATTACAGGTGTGAGCCACCAGCGCCCGGCTACAGCTATAGTTTTGCATGGAAAGGCACCAGGCCAAAATCAGCCAAAGGAGTCAGTCACCGGTGGCTTATTCTTGTAATTATCCTAGCTACTCAGGAGGCTGAGATCTGAGGATCATAGTTTGAAGTTAGACTGGGCAGGAAAGTCACTAAGACTTATATCCAAATAACCACCAAAAAGCTAGAAGTGGAGCTGTGGCTCAAGTGATAGAGTGCTAGCCTTGAGCACAAAAGCTGAGGGACTGCTCCCAGGCCCTGAGTTCAAGTCCCAGGACCAGCACAAAAAGAAAAAAAAATTAGCCAAAGGGAGAGATATATAGGTCAGTCTGAAAGCTTGCTTTGTCCTCAAGTATTATCCTCTTGGCATTCATGTATGACAGTATGTGATGTGTTGTCACCCAGGGAAGATTATCCCAGCCATATTCCAGCTTTGGTATCCAGAGATACCCTCTTCCCCTTATTGATTGCTTCCTATTGGTAAAGGATGGATGTCAGGTGTGGTTTTAGAGCTAATCATAGGAGACACACTCTTTTCTCCCTTGAAAATTGTAACTGGTAGAGACCTGAGATAAAGGGCAAACCTCCCTTTGAAAAAGGTATAATCCTTGTTATATATCCTTACTGAAGCATGTGCATTAGTAGTGCCAGTATTCTGACTGTAAACTCTTTGAGGACAAACTCATAGAATGATCTAAAGCCAGGTCTTTCCAGATTTCCTGGGTGAAATCTCTGCTCATTGGTTCTGTGACCTTGGGCAGTTACATACCGTTCTGCATTTCAGTTTTTTCTGTTGTCAAGTAGCATGCATACTAATCCTTCCAGGGGGCTTTTTAAGGATAAATGATGGGCCTTAAGACATCACTGCAGATCTGGGAGCTAGTGCCAAATCTGCCTGGTTGGGTGGGAGTCAGGGTTGACAGAATAGCTTGTATGTTGTCAGTGACCTCATCTGGGACACTATTGACACTACCCATGTCTGCGTTGCTTGTATGGCAGGAAGTGGACGCCAGTATTAAAAAGCTTTGTTGGTAGTTACTGTGGAAGGTTTTTGAAGTGTTTTTTAACTTTGAAGTGCCCCACCCCTTAAGTTTAAAGTTGGAAGTTCCTCCCTCCTTGATTTGTTGGTTGCAGTTGGTTTAACTAAAGGTGTTCTAAAGAAGCAAAACCAAGTAAATGAGAAATGATCAGAGCAGTACAAGATGCATGTGTTATAAGCACCTTAGTGCACGCTCATGGGTCTTGTGTTTGTTATGCCTTGTATATATATGAAGTACTTAGTGACTGTTCATTGATGGGTTAATGGATGGGTCCTTCTGTAATGAATGAGTGCTCTCCTGAGTAGCAGTGTGCATGTGGTTCACCCAGCTCAATATCCACACTGAATATGCAGGCACCTGGCCTTGTTTTGAACTAAACAAATACCAAAGCATGTGTGCATTTGGATTTTTTTCATTATGAAGGCTTTATTTTTCTTTTTTATTTCCATGCAGTGGCCAGTTTGGCAAAGCCTGGTACTTTTGCTGGCAATGATGCAATTGTAGCCTTTGCAAGAAATCATCAGTTGAATGTGGTGATTCATCAGCTTAATGCCCCTTTGTGGCAGGTAGGTCACCTATTCAAGAATTTACCTACATCATTAGCTTTGGGGATGCTTGAGATGATGGGGCTTGACCTGTGATGTTGAACTACCCAGAATTATGTGGACCAAGAGCCTGACCAAGGCCAAGGATCTGTGATGACTTGGAATTAGTCCTTGTGTTATATACAGATGGAGCCTAGAGTCTAATTCAGAAATCTTAAAATGCTGTAAATGTTGTCCAGCAGTCAGTTAATTGGGTAGTTTGGAAACAGAGGCTCTAATGTGGAAGTACCTTAGGTAATTCCCATAAAAACCTGAAGTGAGAAGGGGTCAATGCCTACCAATTCTAGTTTTGATGGACACACATTCCCATGTGTGTTTCTGGGCTTTTTTAGGGGTAAGAAACAGACTACACTCATTATAATGACATAATTGTTTATCTTGTGCTGTAGATATCTAGCTTTATTTCTATCATTTGTGGAGGTGTACATATTGGTTTTGTTGTTTCTTCTGTGGCAAAAAAAGATTTTACACAAATGCAGAGTTCTTGATAGGATGACAGACACATTGTTAAGCCATTCTGTGATTCCTTTCGCCTCCTCCTGTCCTGAAGTATCTGGTCATCAACTCTTCTCACCATTCTTTATCTTTGGTATCCTAAATTAATTAACCTCATCTGCCAAACAGGCCTTAAAACCAAATGCTCTGGGGTGTGGAAAATAGAAGGTGGAGCTGCAGGCTCTCCAGGGTCTCCGAGCTCCCGGGCTGGGTCCTCAGGCCCTTACCCCTTTTTTTTTGGGGGGGGGGTCCAGTCATGGGGCCTGAACTCTGGGCCTGGGCACTGCACTGTTCCTCAGCTCATCAGCTCAAGGCTAGCGCTCTACCACTTGAGCCACAGCGCCACGTCCGGCTTTTTTTTTTCTGCTTATGTGGTGCTGAGGAATCGAACCCAGGGCCTCATACATGCAAGGCAAGCGCTCTACCACTGAGCCACCTTCCCAGCCCCGCCCTTACTCTTTCCCAGGGAATTCAGAGGCTTTTTGTTACTTTGAAGCTTAGCTTCTGAAGAATGGGCATGTGATTTCTGTTATCTCCTGCTCCACCACTTTGCCATTCTAACTAATTCTTTAATTAGGACCTTCAAACTTTAGAAAAACTAGAAAATCAGAAAAGATTATAAAGGCAAGAAAAAAATCACATTATCTAGGGATTATTGTTGATAACATGTTAGTGTGTATCCATGGTCATCCCCACACACTTAGCTACGTCATTGAAAAGACTCCTGTCACAGCACTTTTATAACATCTTAAACGTATCTATACATGCATACACAAACTTACATTTACTGTTATCGTAAAGGTTATGGTACCATTTTTCTAATGCCACCTACGTATACTTCTTTTTAAATTGCTTAGCCCTGGCTTCTGCTCATTTAAAAATAAAGGTCAGACGAGAACCGACAGGCTGTGGCTCATGTGAAATAGGGAAATAGCCAAGGAACATGGGATCCAATTAAAAAATGGGCACTGGTGGCTCAAACCTATAATCCTAACTACTCAGGAAGCTGAGATCTGAGGATTACTGTTCAAAGCCAGCTCTGGCAGGAAAGTTAGCTTCTTTATCTCTGTCAAAAAGCCAGAAGTGAACTGTGACTCAATTGGCATAGCACCAGCTTTCAGCACAAAAAGTCAAGGATAGCACTCAAGTCCCAAGTTCAAGCCCCAGGACCGGCACCAAAAAACAAAACAAAGCAAAGGTCAGGTTTATAGATACACTTTACATATTACCAATGTACCCTTAATTTTTTCAGTCATAGAGGTTTGGACTTGGCCTCATGCTTTATATGCAAGGGCTCTACCACTTGAGCCATCCTCACTCCCAGGACCCTAGCGGGTTTTTTTGGCTAGTTATTTTTCAGGAAAGGTCTCACACCTTTTGCCTGGGATGGTCAGGAATTGTGAGCTTTCTATGTCTCCTAAGCAGCTGGGCTTTCAGGTGTGAGGATCCTTCCCTGTCAGAATTCATCCTTTTCAGGGTGCAAGTCTGGGTTTTGACAAGTATAGTTCTGTAACTGATGTCAATCTGCATTGCTCTCATGACCCAGTGCTGCCTTCACAGCCCACTGACACTCTCTCCTTCCCCGGGGCCAATTCACAGAAAAACCTCTCCTCTGGCCCTTTCTCAAAGTGCACATAGCTCCTGGTAAGACTAGTAGCTGCCCTTGTTTTATTACACTTAGACCTCAGACCCCCCCTCCCTCTGTGCTCCTTCTGTCTCTGACTCTGCTCAGTGTTACTTGGTGCCTCTCTGCAGCACTTATTGAAGTCTGATCTAACTTGTTGGGATCTCTGTCTCCTCTCCTTTTTGTCCTCTTCATTCCTCTTAACAGTAACCACCACTGTCAACATAAGCATAGTTCTACGGTAAAGTGGGTATCTGTTCCCTTTATAGTACCTAGCCCTCCTTGGCCTCTGCTAACCACTCTCTGATTTGTCTCCTACAGCTTTACCTTCCCAGGATGTCACTCAATGGGAGAATTCAGCCTTTTGTGTCTACATAAAGGCCTTTTAACAAAATTATGTTACAACAAAATGAATTATTCTCCCCTAGTTGATGAGGAATTGGGATCTAGTGAACAGGAGTGAAACAGTAACTGTTTTCTTTGGGGGCCCTGTTGCCAGATGTCTAACAGCAACTACAGCGATCGTATTTCTTTCTAATGATCTGTGAGCTAAGAGTACTCTACTCTCTAGTTGCAATTTTTGTTGTTCAGCGTTTTCTGTTAGCAGAAGTTATAAAAATCATTTGGATGTATGGCATAATGAGCCTTAATTTTATTTCCACTGGATCACCCCCATGTTCCTTCTTGTGTAATGAAACTTCTTATAAAATTTTTAAGAATTGAAACTGCCTTGGTTGCTGCTGTTGTAATAAGAGTTCTTGAATTAGTGATGAGGCTCACACTAACAACAGCATTCTTTCTCCTGGTGACAAATGGAGTGTACACTCCTGTGAATGGTCTAGACCTGTCATCAGCTCATGAAAATCAGCTGACAGTTTTGGTGACTGCTGGGGGTTTTCCTGTTTGTAAAGTGTAGGTATTATAACTCAAAGTGTACATGCTTCAGGGGATATGCCACTCAGTTCATAAGCCTTTGTTCCATGTGTTCTTCTTGGGAGACAAAGGGAGTGACCACTACATGTTGGGACTTAAATATCCTATTAGAGCAAATTTGAATACTCCTGGGCATCTGGATCTGTGTTGTCAAAACACAGGGCCGCACACCTGGGAAGGTGGATTTTGCTTTATAAACCTTTACTGATTTTTTACAAACAAGCCATGACTGAGCAGTTTGAAGTATATGTAGCTTCCTGTTTGTCTCATGGTTTTTGCTGTTTTTAGACCATAGACATTGTTTAAATTAGCAGGAGCATCATACTACCTGTGATTTTGAGTAAAATCAGAAAGCAGGTGCTGATGTTGTGGAGTTTTAGCAACAAGCTACTGGGTTTTCTAAGGGACAGTGCTAGAATTTTAGTTTCTGTGTAAATGGAGGTTTTGGAATGTTTGTGCAGACCAGACCTTAGAGCTTCTGTAAGCAGGACTTCAAAGAGCCCTCTCTTGCTGTGTGTACCCCGGGTTATTCACATGGATGCTTTGTGCGTGGGACCTGCAGGGTTGTGTAGTACTGTGGGTCTGCCCTATTATATGTAGCACTGTTTTGAAATTGATGTGAAGATTTGGTTGTTGCTGTCAGTAGTCTCACTATGAGGTTGATGAGAAATGCTCTTTTTGCTCTATGAATGGGTTGATTTACTATGAGACAAATGAAGTGCTAGCATCAAACCATCCATCCAGTCCTATGGCTCCCTTTCAGGACCCTTGGAGAAGTCCCAGCAGTTCATACTCATTTTCTTAAGGTCCAGCAGAGATGAAGATTCCACAAGTCTGTGTCTCTCCTAGCCCTTCCCCATTAGAAAGAGGCTGTGTATTTAAGGCCAAAGAGGTATTAAAACCTCTGACATGTAAGCTTATTTAACTTTACTGTAAACTTGCTCCTGAGTGTTGAATGTGCTTTTAAATAGATATATTTCCATATTGTTAACATATTCAGTAAGCACATAGAAGGCTATGAGGATGGGACAGAGAGGAGTCTGAAGTTGATTGACACATCCTAGGCACATTCCCAATTAGAGTCTGTTATGGGGGCTTCGGGGCTTCCTGGCCCAAAACAGTGTCACTCAGATCCTCAGTGGCCTCTGCCTTTTGCTTGCAGATTCGGGGTACAGACAAAAGCAGTGTGAGGGAGTTGCACATTGCCTATCGCTATGGAGAGCACTATGACAGCGTTCGGAGGATCAATGACAACTCAGAAGCACCTGCGCATCTCCAGACTGATGTGAGTGAGGCCTTGGTTTTGTGTGGTCTACAGGAAGCAGGGCCAGAAATGTACTTCCTGGATCTGGAAAGTAGTATACTGGTTTGGTTTGTTTTAGTAGGAAGTTTATGGATCTGTTTGATTATTTCCAATTTTTTTGTGTAAATGAAAAAGATGGATAAAACAGCTTGTTAACCTTTTGCTTTCTCACCATAAGCTAAAAGCTATGATTACAGGCATGATTACAGTCTGTGAAATTTAAAAATTATTCTCATGTTTTAAAGTTGAAACATACCTATATTATATTAGGAAATCAGAAAAAAATAAAGAAGGAAATAAAAATTCATGCAAACTACCTGGATGCAAATTTTATTACTGTTTTGGTAGATTTGGTAAATTTCTTTTTCTTTTTCTTTTTTTTTGCCAGTCCTGGGGCTTGAAATCAAGGCCTGGGTACTATCCCTGAGCTTCTTTTGCTCAAGGCTAGCATCTACCACTTGAGCCACAGTGCCGCTTTTGGCTTTTTCTGTTTTTGTGGTACTGAAGAATTGAACCCAGGGCTTCATGCACGCTACGCAAGCACTGTCCCACCAAGCCACATTCCCAGCCCCAGAGGATGGTTGAGATTAAATGATTAATATAGTTTTATTTCTTGATCTTTTTGATTAATATTATGTAAGCCTTTTCTGATTAACATTATTGTTTTTATCTTCTATTTATTTGTTTGTTTGTTTGTGGGTCTTGGGGCCTGAACTCTGGGCCTAGATGCTGTCCCTGAGCTATTCAGCTCAAGGTGAGCACTCTATCACTTGAGCTACAGTGCCACTTCCGGTTTTCTGGTGGTTAATTGGAGATAAGAGTCTCACAGACTTTCCTGCCTGGGCTGGCTTTGAACTGTGATCTTCAGATCTCAACCTCCTAAGTAGCTATGATTACAGGTGTGAGTCACCAGCGCCCGGCTTGATTGACATTATCATATAAGCTTTTTCTAAGGGCATCATTTTTTACTTTTTTAAACTTGGGGTTTGAACTCAGGGCTTTGCTCTTGCTAGGTAGGCTGTCTATAACGCCCACCACACTTCCAGTCCTTTTGTTCATTGATAATTTTTGACATGAGGTCTCAGCTTCCTGCTTAGATGCATACCTGGACCTGATCTTCCTAATAACTTTGGCTTCCCACTGTAGCTAGGATAGCAGGCATGCACCACCACCATGCCCAACTACTACTTCTTCATTCTTCCCCTACTTCCTCCTCCCCCCCCCCCCCCCCCAGCACTGTCCCTGAGCTTATTTTTTGCTCAAGGCTAGCACTCTGCCAATTGAACCCCAGTGCCACTTCCGGCTTTTTCTGTTTATGTGGTACTGAGGAATTGAACCCAGGTCTTCATGTATACTAGCAAGCATTCTACCTCTAAGCCACATTCCCAGTCTCCCAACTTCTTCTTCTTCTTCTTTTTTTTGCGGGGGGGGGGGTCTGGTTGTGGGGCCTGAACTCTGGGCCTGGGCGCTGTCCCTCAACTCTTCACCTCAAGGCTAGCGCTCTACCACTTGAGCCTCAGCGCCACTTCCAGCTTTTTTCTTTTTGCTTATGTGGTGCTGAGGAATTGAACCCAGGCCTCATGCATGCCAGGCAAGCGCTCTATCACTGAGCCACCTTCCCAGACCTCCCAACTTCTTTTGAGATGGGAGTCTCTTGAACTTTTCTGCGCAGGCTGGCCTGGAATTACTCCGTCCCATCTCAGCCTCATGTAACTAAGATGACAAGCATGTGCCAAGTGTCTGACTATTGGTTGAGAACAGGTCTTGTGAGCTTTTCTGCCAGGACTGACCTTGAACTGAGTTTTCCTAGTCTTGGCCACTAAGTAGCCAGGCAATGTGAATCATTAGTGACCAGCTTGCATTTCTTTCATAGTCAGTTTATGCATCATTTCCCATGTTTAAGGCCTATTTGTATTTTGTGTGAATTGTTAGTGTTTCCGAACTTGTGGATTATATGTAGGAGTGGAATTGCTAGGTTGTATGGTCAATTCTAAATTTTACTGTTGGAGGAACTGCCAGGCTTTTCCAGAACCCCACAGTGGCTACAGTGCTTTTTTTTTTTTTTGGATCTGGTCATGGGGCCTGAACTCTGGGCCTGGGCGCTGTCCCTCAGCTCTTCAGCTCAAGGCTAGCACTCTACCACTTGAGCCAGAGCGCCACTTCCGGCTTTTTTCTTTTTGCTTATGTGGTGCTGAGGAATCGAACCCAGGGCCTCATGCATGCAAGGCAAGCGCTCTACCACTGAGCCACCTTCCCAGTGCCCGCTTCTTTCTTTTTTAAAATGGTTGTCTCAGCATATGTGTTTCCTTGGTGACTAATGATATTGAAAAGTGTTTCATATGCTTTGTAGATCTTTTGAGAAATATCTACTCAAGTCTTTTGCTTGTTTTTTAATTGGATTGTCTTCTTCTTCTTCTTCTTCTTTTTCTTCTTCTTTCTTCTTCTTCTTCCTCCTTCTTCTTCTTCTTCCTCCTCCTCCTCCTCCTCCCCCCCCTCCTCCTTCCTCTTCTTCCTCTCCACCTTCTCAGCCCGTAATGAATTCTTTATATATTTTAGATAGTAGATTCTTAGAAAAATACATGATTTGCCAAAATTCTTTCTGTTTGAAGTAGTTTTGATGTTGTTATTGTTGATCCTCCTGTTTTCCCCCCAAAATATGTAATCATCTCATTTGAAAGTAGTGAGTTTTTCTTCCTGAGTTTTATATTTTTAATTTTGTTGTCCTGGCTAATTGCATTGACTGTAGCCTCTAAAGTATTAACTAATAACAGGGTTAGTGAAAATCCTATGTTCCTTACTTTAATTGGAATGAAGATAATCATTTTGTGAGTTTGCAGTGGTGACTAGTCATACCCATAGTACAAAGACTTCAGCTTGTTTGTAGTTATTCACCACTGTAAGTAACATTATTATGAGCACTTTTACATAAATCCTCTATTTGTAGTGTTATTTTCTCTGGGAACATTCCAAAGCTATGTAATTGCTAAATCAATTGCTGTTGACAGTGCCAAGTTGTTCAGGTATAATTTTATAATAGATTATTTTGTATGAACAGTCTAAGGTGCTCATTGTTGGACTCCATTAATATTTTATGTGTGAAAGTAACATAGAAACATTTACCCATCTCTTTTCATTACAGAGAAGCAGAAGGAGAAGGTTGGATAGTTATAGGGGGATGATTTTTAGCTTTTCTGATTCAGGCTTCAGTCATAAAGGCGTCTTTGACTTCAAGCCAACTGCTCTTTGTTGCTTTAGAATTTGGACTGACAGGTTCCCGTGTGATGGAGTGCACCTGAGGTGATGTGAGTCACGTTGTGCCATGTATCCCAGAGTTCACAGATAATCAGACAGGGCCTTGGACCACATGAGAGTTGAGTGTATGTTTCTTCATGCATTGATCTGTAAAGCTCAGCAAGTGAAGCATGGAGGATCTGCTTCTGTTCTGCTCATAGGTCGGGAAATGAGCTGAGGTTACAGTATGCTATTCAGTCAGCGGCCATTGCCACAGTGTTGATGTCTAGAAACTGGGAACATTCATGCTGTTCCTACTGATGGGTTCATCTGGTCTCTTGGGCCTTGCTTTATGTTCTGCTGTGGCCTAGAATCTCTGCGTGTGTTTGGGACTTAGCTGTTCAGTGCTGTGCTTTTCATATTGTTTGTAGACTCTTCCCTCCTACAAATTTGAATGTTTTAATATTAGAGTCTCTTTCTGTGTTGAAGATAAATGGGGTTTGGTTGTTGAACTTTCTTTTTTCCTTTAGTTTCAGATGCTTCATCAAAGTGAATCAAATAAGAAAGAAAAGATCAAGACAAAGGGAGCTGACTTTGAAGATGACTTGAGAGATGAAGTAGAGGATGCTGTTCAGAAAGTCTGCAATGCCACCGGATGTTCAGTTAGTATTCCTTTCATGCAGTAGAGCTTTGTCCACAGGGCTGGGCATGTGGCTTACCTGCTACTGTTATAGCATCGCTAGTATGCCAGCACCAGCCTGGCCAAGACAGGTGTGCAGTTAGGTGATATGGGATGTCTTAATGACAGCTTGAGCTGTCCTGAAAGGACTTAATGTGAGCTGGTCATTCATTTCCTCATTTGCTAGACTTTACTCAATACTTGTCAGAGCCCTACGGGGTCGATTTAATTTTTTTGGACTAGTATGTTATACTAATAAAGGTGTAGTTTCATAGCGGGAATCAATTTATAAATTTATTTTGAGTGGTTATTTCACATGACTGTTGCTATTTTCTAAGTGGCAAGGTCTTGAAACCTCGTGTCTTTTCTCACTGTTCCATCTTTGTATTTAAGTCAGGAGGTGAAAGCAGGAGCATTTGAGTTCATACCCGTCCTAGGCTACAAAGTGAGATTCCCACCTCCCCCCCAAAACCCAAAACTCAATAAAATAACATCATTGTGTTGATGAGCTTGACGAAGCAGAACTAGATAGAAAAGTGTATCTAGAGTCTTAAAGTATGTTTCTTTGTTTCCTGGATAGGATTTTAATTTAATAGTCCAGAACCTGGAAGCCGAAAATTACAATATTGAATCTGCAATAATTGCCATGCTTCAGATGAACCAAGGGAAAAGAAATAGTAAGTCCGTGATAGCTGTTTATAAGCTTCCTAAATGGCTCTGTTGGTGATGTCAACCGAATTGATCATTTAGTTTATTGAGATCCTTCATGTGCTGCTTTGTTTCCCCTTAATCCTGGACCTGCATGGAGAAGGTAGTTGGGGTTGGAGAAGGAACAGTGGAGTCAGATAGGCCAACTGGCCTACAATTACATGTGGGGTGGGGTGAGAGTGTGCAGGAGTGCATGGAAGATACCCGATCTAGTCTTGGGGGTAGAGAGTGACAGGGAAGACTACCCCTAGAAATAGGATATCTTTGTAAAAGGTGAGATACGTTTATTTGGAAATTTTTATGATACTAGCATACTATCAGCTAATGATCATTTAGATAGCTTTTCTGTAAGCTAAGTTTAATTTTGACTCAGCGGAAGGAAGGAAGATGACTTCTCAAGTTATTTACGTAAACTTTTTCCATGTGATCGAGTACATTAACATCCACTTCACGTGTTTGCTGTGTCTCTATCAAACACAAGGACCTTGGTTTTTGTGGTGTTGAACAGCACTGTCCAGTACATACACTCCCAGTACGGCAGGACTTGACGTGTAGGGAGTAAGGTGGGAATTTTAAATGGCGTTTACTTTAATTTTAATTGCCACATGCGACTGGTGGCTGCTGGGTTGGATGTCATCACTTGAGAACTTCTTCTGGGGTTTGTGTACAAATGAAAGATTTCTCTCTGAAAATTCATTTTAAAAAGTATTTTTAAGGAACCAAACCCTTCTGCTGTCAGGAAGCTGATTACAAGCTTCCTTGTGATCACAAGGTTAATATTCATCCTTTAGCTCTACCAAGTATTTTGTCCCTTGTTCCCAATCTGTTTACATGAAATGGAATTTTGTTTCTTCAGAAAGTGATCTGGGGCCCAGGGGATGCTGGGTAATTTATAGCATTGGGTTGTACCTCTGTCAGGTTCTTGGGTTTGTTCCTCCTCCCCTCCCTTCTTCCTTCCCTCCCGTCCGTCTGTCCTTCCTTCCTTCCTTCCTTCTTTCTTTCCTTCCTTCCTTCCCTCCTTCCCTCCCTCCCTCCCTCCCTCCCTCCCTTCCTCCCTTCCTTCCTCTGTATCTTTCTCCTTCTCTCCCCTCTCTCTCATCTCTCATCTCTTCTCTTCTCTTCTTTTTTCTTTCTTTCTTTTTTTTTTTTTTTTTTGCTGGTCGTGGGGCCTGAACTCTGGGCCTGGGCACTGTCCCTCAGCTCTTCAGCTCTACCATTTGAGGCCCAGTGCCACTTCCAGCTTTTTCTGCTTATGTGGTGCTGAGGAATTGAACCCAGGGCCTCATGCATGCAAGGCAAGCACTCTACCACTGAGCCAACTACCCAGCCCCTTTTCTTTTCTTTTCTTTTTGTTGGTCATGGGCTTGAACTCAGGCCTGGGTGATGTCCCTGAGCTTTTTGCTCAAGGCTTGTGCAGCTCTACTTCCAGTTTTCTGGTGGTTAGTTGGAGATAAACGTCTCATGGACATTTGAACCTTGACCCTCAAATTGCAGCCTTGTGAGATTATAAGTGTGAACCACCAGTGCCTGGCTAAATTCTTGGTTTTAATAACATGCTTTTCTTTGGAAGGTGCAGAGGAGAGCCTTGAAAACCTTGAGCCTAGTGGCCGATCACTGAAGCTGAGTGGCCTGTTATGGGAGGAGGGTGGCAGCGGCTCCAGAATCTTTGGAAATCAGGGCTTAAATGAAGGCAAGACTGAAAACAATAAGGCACAGGCTATCCCCTGTGAAGAAAACAAAGCAAATAAAAACCAGCTCCCAAAGGTAGGAAGAAGAGGCAGACAGGCAAATGGGGGGTTGCTGAAGTTTTGTGCCAGATATGGGGAATTGAAAGTTCATTTTCTTTTTTCTTTTTCTTTTTTTGGTTGTGGGGCTTGAACATAGGGTCTTGGCACTGTCCCTGAGTTCAAGGCCAGCACACTACTACTTTGAGCCACAGCAGTATTTGTGGTTTTCTGGTGGTCAATTGGAGATAAGAGTCCCACAGACTTTCTTGCCTGGGCTGGCTTTGAACCATGATTTTCATATCTCAGCATCCTGAGTTGCTAGGATTATAGGCATGAAGTTCATTTTCATGTGTCTTTCTTTTGATTTATTATATGAATAGTGGAAAGGGGTGGAAAATGGTTCAGGGAAGAGGGGCGGGGACGCATACAATTCTCAAGCAGAATGAATGCCTTGTACTGTGGGGCCACGCACGTGGGAGGATCCAAATGCTGAAAAATCGTCCTGTGTTCACTGGCGGAAACTACCTTCTCTGCCTAGTGTTCCTGTGTGATGGCGCTTCCTGGCATGTACACACTGTTATTTTATTTATTTATTTGTCAGTCATGGGCTTGAACTCTGGGTCTGGGAGCTGTCCCTGAGCTCTTCAGCTCAAGGCTAGGGCAAATGGGGGATTGCTGAAATTTTGTGCCAGATATGAGGAGTTGAAAGTTCATTTTCTTTTTTCTTTCGAAAGTTCATTTTCTTTTTTCTTTCTTTCTTTCTTTTTTTGGTTGTGGGGCTTGAACACAGCGTCTTGGCACTGTCCCTGAGTTTAAGGCTAACACACTACTACTTTGAGCCATAGCGCCACTTCCAGTTTTCTGGTGGTCAATTGGAGATAAGAATCTCATAGTCGCCGGGCACTGGTGGCTCACGCCTGTAATCCTAGCTACTCAGGAGGCTGAGATCTGAGGATCGCGGTTCAAAGCCAGCCCGGGCAGGAGAGAC